ACAGAGGAAAGGCAGGTCTTATGCCCCAAAGTGGTGCTGGGGGGGGGGTAAACTTTTTTGTTTTTCAAGGTTTTTGCAAGCTGTCAGACACTTCTGGTGCTGTGTCACTGGATCGTTTGAAATCCCCTAGAGTCTAAATGACACAGCACTGCAGTACAGAAAGGTATAAGAAATAACTAATTTAATAACTAATAAGAAACTGACTGACTTTTTCTACATAAAAATCCACCTTTCTGCAGCACTAGGAATTCATTCAGCTTTGAGCTGAAGTTGAGTCATTGAGTGAAGAGAGAGAGAGAGATACAGTGATGGATCTACACTAATTTGAGTCCTGAGATGAGCAATAAAAGCAAAGCAATAATCACAGAGGAAAGGCAGGTCTTATGCCCTTAAATTGGAGCAACAAAACATCTCCACGGTAAATTTTCAACAGGCTATGACTCACTCACTCAGAGCCTCTGCTCAGAAATGTGCTCCTAACAACCGTTCCTGAGGTCTCTGAGGACACACACATTGAATCTTATTTTCAAATGCTCTACCAAATAATTATTGATTCCAGCAGTTTATCTAAAAATATATTTACCGCTTTTTATTTCCTAACTCCATTTTTAGGTGAGAAACCCTGAAATTACAAGATGGCTGTTCCCGTTTATCCAGTAATGTTGCTGGAAATAAAGCCTTCTTACCTGTAGACTAAAAACAACACACTATAACCTCACAGTGAAAGCAACTGGAGCAGAATAACAATTTATTATTATTATTATTATTATAAACATCACTACATACACACATACACATATATATATAGCTTTTTGTTTTGTTTTAATGGTGACACTGCATTTGGTTAACTGTGTTGTTTCATTGCATCTTCCTGTGTGAAAAAAAACTGCTTCCTCTATATCTTGCTGGACAAACAGTGAGCCAGCACAACCCAAGGGCTGGCAACAATGTTTCTAACTGTAATCAACTATTTCCAGAGCTCCCCTCGTGTTGTGTGCATTCGGCATCACTCTGAGACACTTCACAAACAGCTACTAGCCTAAATAAATAGATTCAAGCTGTGCCACTGCGACAGAAAAACAAGTGTTTCCTCCTATCACCTAGCATAAAAGTGTTTGCCAAGTCAGTATCAATTTAAAGATTCAAAATCAGAAAAGAAGCCATATCAAAAATGCCATTTCTACATGAAGTTGCATTCAGATCCAAAAAAAGCCCTTAAAACGGATTTCACGGCCTGCTGGGCAAGACATACAGCACTGAATACAATAGAAACGCTGTTCACAGCCAGATGCAAACCACCAGGAGGAATATGTCACTGTAAACAGAACCTGAATGTTTAAAACAGCACAGCTGCAAAGCTTTTTACGGTGATAAATCTTCAATTCGCAAATTAATAACCCTGCTTTTGCAGGCAGACCTTGAATATTTTTGCTGAGATGTTAATTTTCTATTTTCAGTATTTTTCCTTTCGATACGATGTGATGCCATCATTGCTGATCCAGGCTTTGGAACAGGCTCTGTTCCAGAGTCATGACAAAACAGCTTTGATCACCAAAGAAAAGTTTCCTATTCAAACATGTCTAACTACTAGTCGTCGACTGATGTTTTTTTTTTTTTTTTATTTTCAAAGCCAATATCTAACACGCATACTTGTTTGCTTAATTTCAGTCTCATGAATGCAATAATACCTTTTCAAAACAAGTATGCAGAACATGACAGCCATTAAGAAGCATAAAACCAATAAAGCATTCTGAACGGTCTTGGAAAATGAGATTTCCAAATGTTAGAGCAAGTAAACATGCAACATAAAAGGGGCCTGAACGTAATTAGGCCCCAGATTTAAACCACTGATTTTTTTTTTTAATCAAGACACTTACACAGACATGAAAACAACCTACTCTGCCTTTCTAACCACTTTAACTCTAGCTAGAGGCCTGTGTGTGTGTGTGCACACACAGTCTAACAAGACTAAATGACCAAACAGGATGTTTCTCCCTGAGGTTCAGCCTCTTACTGGAGATGTACTCACACACTCTCCTTAGCAAACACAGCAAGGGGGCATTTGGGACTCTATGAATATGATGGTCTTTCACAAAGACCCTCATCCGAGGATGTATCAGTATGAGACAGAAAACAACTGCAGACGTTACCAGCAGCAATGAATGTGCATTACTAAACACAAAAGGTGGTTAAAAAAATAAAAATAAAAAATAAAAAAAAAACTTTTCTGTTCACAGGCAGTGAGCCTATGCAGCAAATCATGTTCAGGCCACAACTTTTCCCTCCTCTTCCAGTTTACAGGTTTCCACCAGCGCCACTGAGAGCAGTTCAAACGGATCTCTGCCAAACTGATCAAAACAGGTCAGTTTTTGATTAAAGCACCGAAAAGATAAGCTTCACATCAAGTCATCAGGTTTGCCCCCTACATCTGTATCAAAGCCGTGATGCTGAATACGTGATCGTGCATTGAGCATCACAGACGGGGGGATTTAAAGCAACATCCCCCTCCGTATATTTATACCGCCGCACAAGAAGAAAAACAACCCCGAGCACGTTCACACACACCCCTCCACCGTCGAATGAACTCCAGCAACAGCACAGCCCATCATTACCGCTAAACAAAACACACATGACTGCTTGCTTGATGATGCCATGCGCCTCGTAGATGGAGCAAATAGAAATTTGAATGTAAAAAGTGCTGAAACTGCATCTGCCTTTCATGAGAGGTGCGTAGCGGTAAGCTAATGTAATTCCGCGGCAGATTCTTCAAGACAGTGCATACAGGACAGTAAATACAGGTTTAACAACGCAAACCTGATTCGTGAAGCTACTTACCTTGTTTTAGAGGGCAGGAAAGCTAGTTTGATTAATCCATGAGTGCAAATCTGGATGCCCTCTTTCGCTATACTTGCTACTTTTAAACTGTGCTCTAAAATGTGCAGCTCCATCTTTTGCGTATTCTCATTTGTGGTACATCCAAAAAATATAACTGCCTATTCCGTTTTAATAAAAACAAGAAAGAATAAATAAATAAATAAATAGCGCGTATGGAGTCTGGACAGGGCTTTAAAACCTTCAAACAGAGCGGAAAGAAGGGGAGCAAAAAATATAACTGCCTATTCCGTTTTAATAAAACAAGAAAGAATAAATAAATAAATAAATAGAGCGTATGGAGTCTGGACAGGGCTTTAAAACCTTCAAACAGAGCGGAAAGAAGGGGAGAGAAAAGGAAAAGTTGTCTGCCAAGGAAACGAGAGAAAGAGAGTAAAGCGGGGTGAAATGAAAGAAAGCACAACGAGGTAAACGGGAAGGGAGAAAAAAAAAGAGGACTGTCGGCCCCCGTGTTTCCACTCCGACAAGGATTGGAATGGGCCAGCAGCTGTTAACAGTGAAACAAACAACCTGTCAGTCAAAAAAGGGGGCGGGACGAATTATACAGGAAGTGCGTGTTGGGAAATGTAGTTCTGTGACAGTTTATCGAGACTCACATTTTTTGTTTTAAAATGTAGTCATATTTGCATAAAATGCCATGTAATTTATTTTTTGGATATAAAACAATTGTGTGTTATGAACATTTTTAGCTATCCCTCCATTAAACTAAAATTATCAAAAGATTTAACGGCTTAAAAATGTGCTGGGACACAGAACACACCGCTAACATTTACAGGGCCCAGGACAAAATTTTGTCAAAATGTTATTAATGGGCATCCTCTCCCTCAAGACCAATGAACGGTTGTAGATTAATTTATATTATATATGTGTGTGTAATTTGAAGCAACCATGTTCAAAATGTATTGCATAATTACATCATGACACCCCTTAATTTACCAAGTCCAGGCCCAGAGTGCACCATCTAATACAAGGCAGCAGAAGTTTAATAATTCACAATTGCGGTCTATTGGTAACCAGGGCTGGTGCTGCAGAGTCATAAAACAACAAGCATTCTTTGTGTGCAGCTGTGATAAGATCCCTGGGACACTCTGATCTCTCACAGGGACAGGCATTGTTCAGTTCAAAAGACAGCACTCCTCTTTAGACACTATTCCTTTCAGCATTACCACTCAAAACACATTAAAGCTTTGGACTATGACTTCTTTTCTTTCTTTGAATATCAGGTATGTTTGTTACCAGGTAATGTTTTTAAATAGGCAACTGTCTTCCTAGGCCTAACATGCTTTCTTGTAAAAAAGTTAAGCAAACATTAGAAAAGCCAAATTAATATTTTGAGTGGAGAATCTTTAGTTTCAGTCAAGAAACTGTTCAGCCAGCAGTAAATATTTCTCTTCTGTAATGCACTTTATAAAGAAAATTTAACAATAAAGGCTAAAGGACCCTAACATCAGACTACATCTTTCTCTCAACAAGGATCAGCTTTACACCTGTCATCTAAGACAGACAAAAGGCAAAAAGCTTTTGAGTATTTTCATACAGACTTAATCCTTGAATATTAAAATGACTTATAAAAGCTTGTGTAAAAGTGCAAACCGAAATGAATCTAAAAGATTCAAGTGAATAAAATACTCAAGTCCATTCTGTTATATGGCCTGAACAATTGATCTTTTCTAACCAGATACTTTATGAACAAATTCCCATCTGAAAACTACACTTTAAGACATTCCCCAAAGAGCAAACACAGCAATAGAACATTCAAGCACTCACAAATAAAGGCTTGGTTACACACTCAAAGGCAGCTTGTCAAAGCAGAAGTGGAGCACTAAAAGCTGTGTTCTGCAGAGAGAATCCTTTAATCTGAACCCCATGACCCACATGAAGCCCTGAGAACCAGTCTCCTACGGGCATGACACTGGCTATGAGGCTTCGAGACTTCAAATCTTCATGCTATCCTCTCTAAGGTGAGCTCTAATGAGAAAACTGTAGCAAAGTTTGATGGCTAAATTACACTGAGAAAAACTGTTTGCATTCATGTTGGGAGATATTTGGGATTTGACATTGGTCCTTCAGCCTTTCAAAAAATAAAAAATAAATACTTAAACCACAGATACCTTTCACACTTAATTTATTGAAAACTGCATCACCACAAAACATTCCAAAGCAGAAGGTTTACAGATTCCCTGTGCAGTATGATCTCACCAGCAACAACTGTTAAAGACAGAAGTAATTACATTCATATTGAAAGTGCTAATACAATAAGCCATTGATATTGCTTTGTGAATCAGGTGTTGCCCCAAAGACAGCAAGCAGTTTATTTTTTGTGAAAAAACCTGCAAAACATCTCATAGGGCACTGATGTGGGATCACAGCGTTAAGGATCGCCAGTGAAAAGAAGTGGCTGACCCCCTTTGAAAGTGATCCAAAGACGTGGAACATCTCTCACCTTTCAAGAAAAGTCCGGCTGGGAAACCCTTCACTCCAACTCCAAACCTGTTACAGCATAAACAATTAAACACGCACAACCTCGCATTGAGTTATATGTTGAGTGCATTTAAGGAAATGTTCCTAATAAATCCCAACAGAAACACAACTGAAGTGACTCATTAGGATGGGTTTTAATTTTTGGTCATGTCCACAGCAAGTCAGGAACCACGTATCCTAAAAGCCTTGGTATATGACCAAATTTATCACATACATGCAACTGGGAAATGTTCAAGAACAAATGCCTTACTTTTCATTTTACAGTACTGGAAGAACGATAGCCTGCCAGCATTCATTCTTCAATCTAGCCATATGGGACCTGTGGGCACAACACGGACACATCAGGATTATCAAGACGCACTGAGCTATTGAAACAATGTCACAAGGCTTCTAAAAGGAGTAGGTCGCAGCGTGCCGTTATCCTGGGGATGACATGTTGGGTATGTGAGAGAATTGAAAGCACACCAGCTCTGCACTAGAGAGGCTGTGCAGGAAAGTTCGCATCAAAAACAGCTTGGCTTCCAGCTTGAGCTGCATGATTAATTGAAGTAAAACTAAAATCACAATATGGCTTATATCAATAACCAAATACTGCGGGTTAAATTTTGCACAGCACTGCATTCTTGTACATGAACCGGTCTCTTCAGTGTCTCGGAGCAGCTTGGTTCGTGGCAAGTGCTGCTCCACACAAATTCATCTCAGGATCTGGGAACGCAATGTGTAGCAACCAACTTTTCAATACTTATGAGAAGTGCTTATAGACTGGCTGCATTTGTTATAAAAAAAACAAAAGGCCTTGTCTCGACCACCACCAGGACCCAACAACAAACATGTAAGGTCCAATAAGAGCGGGTGTCAAGGTTCTCTAGCACTGGCATATGAACATTCCAGTCAGACATACAACTGGATGCAGATACCAACAGTGCGGACTAATGTTATTTCTAATAAACCACTTTAACATTACACACCTCAAATCACCAAAAACGGGGTGTTGCGCCTTCTAGTGGACATCCTTCAGATCACACCTACACAGTGGAAACTTAAAGTGATATGTTGTTCCTTCTCTATGCCTTACAAATTAAGGTACACCCTTTAAGCTCATTTAAATGTACTGTAGCGTTTTCCCACAAAGCTAATGATATTAGCGACATGGGTAAAGCGATACTACAGACTTTATCTCTGAGGCATTTCCAACGACTAAGCTCTACTGAGAGGGGCAAGTCGGGATAGACCTCAATTTAATTAACCAAATAAAGTTTAATACATTGAAATGCTAGATAAAATGAAACCAGATACTATTATTAAAAAAATGCTAACATTCAGTGACATTTACCATTAGGACAAGCTTCTTCAGATGCAAAACATGCATTTTATGTATTCATTCCCAGGATTATTCACCCACATTTTGTTCTGAAGCCTGAAAGCATAGTGAAATAAGAAAAGCATAGCATGTCTACATTTTAAGAACAATGAAAGGGAGTTTGAGTGTTAGACCTCAATTTAATTAACCAAATAAAGTTTAATACATTGAAATGTTACAGATAAAATGAAACCAGATACTATTATTAAAAAAAAGCTAACATTCAGTGACATTTACCATTAGGACAAGCTTCTTCAGATGCAAAACATGCATTTTATGTATTCATTCCCAGGATTATTCACCCACATTTTGTTCTGAAGCCTGAAAGCATAGTGAAATAAGAAAAGCATAGCATGTCTACATTTTAAGAACAATGAAAGGGAGTTTGAGTGTTCAGAAAGGCACATCCTCTTTCATGGTTTATAAGAGCAGTTGAACATTAATGCCAATCATCATTACAAAACTCTGGCAATTAATCATTATCCCAACAAATTCTTACCCAATTGGCCAGTCCGTTCACAAGAGGACCTGTTATGCCATCAGAAACCTGAAAGCGCACACATCTTATTTGAAAAGACATGTAATCAATAAAAAGCAGCAACATGTTCTGCGGTAAAAATGTCTTCTCATAAGTAGCACTGTTATTTAGTGGCCACAACAGTGACTTGCAAGAGAAGGGAATTGTATTTTTTGCACTGCACTTGTTCCTAAGCCCACTATGACTAAACTGACTAGTACTGTGCATTTCCTTTCCAAACCACTTCCTAAAAAAAACCAAACGACTTACCATACTGCATATGTCAGTTACTATACTCTACAAACACGGAGAGGCCTAAGAATTCCCTGTTGGGAGAAATAAAATAACATTAGTCTTCATATCGTCCTAAATTAGACATGATGGGGGTATTCCAGGCCTCATTGTCAACACTGCAACTATTCTACAGTGATGAAAGCAAACCTGGTGTTTTTCTAGCCAAGCAGATAGAGGAACTTGCCCTATTTGAGAAATTCCGCTTGTGATGATCTGCTTGGCGATCTACGAGATCTGATCAATCTTTAAACACGTGTCCCTCACAAGGACCAAATTACCCACAACGGATCCGTATAGTGCAATATAATTGGTGCATTTAACTACAGAAGCAATCGGAATAAATAACTTTTTAGCTCGCTAGTTTTCTCTATGCACACGATTCCGCAGGACTAACGTTACTCACCACGTGGTGTAGTCTACTATTCGCTAGCACGTAAAAGAAAGACTTTGCGTCAAACCTATTAAATGTTACCATAAACCAAACTTAAGAGAACAAAATCTGGGTAATTGAAACGCTGAAATAGCAGATGCAGACATAAAAAAGCCAAGTACCTAGTTTTAAACCACACTTCTTCACAAGCACTCCCAGACAGGTTGAAGCTGAGAGAGACACCGGAAGAAGAGCGTCACGTTAAGCAATTAAAATCGACACATTTAGAAGTATTAAACGCACTGATCTATAATAGAGACATCATTATGTAGATCAGTGATTAAACTGGACCAAAGCTCGAAGTATTTGAGAGAAAAAAAACTGTTTAAATGAGAAAGTAAAAGTGTCACTGAGAGATTAAATTTATAAATTGATTATTGTTCAACAGAAAAATGATCTGTTGTCCATCTTTTTTCGTTTTTGTAATTGTATACACAAAGATTAAAAAATATTAGAAGGAAAACATTCAATATGAATAATTTATATATATATAATTTATTATATATAATTCATTGTATAATTATTATATGATTGATTATAATTATTAAATTATTGTATAATTTACTATAATTACATTTTAAAGGGGTCATATGATGCTATTTCAATTTTTCCTTTCTCTTTGGAGTGTTACAAGC